TAGGGGTCAAAGGTCGTTATTGTTTATGCAAGAAACACGGTGCTGATAGGGTCAGGAACCAGATTATTAATGCTAGGAAGAGAGATTACATCAATGAGAGGAATAGGTTGGGGAGAATACGTATTTAGATATATGAAAACAACCAATTAGACATTTGTCTCATTTTGCATATACCATTCAACCACAATGGTTTTTGTCAGAGAATTAAAAGCTATGGCAAAGCAAAGTGGACTGCGTGGATATTCTCGTATGAGAAAAGCTGAATTGATTACCTTACTCGGTTTGGAATACAACAAACCCCAGACTGTTAGGGAACTCAAAGCTCAAGCGAGAAACAGTGGGCTGAGAGGTTATTCTCGAATGAGAAGAGCTGAATTGATTGCTTTACTAGATAATAATGACGATGTTGAGAATAAACATAATGATAATGATGATGATAAACAACAAGAATTAATATTTGTACCCACATCCGCCGGCGTTGGTAAATATCTAAGAGGTTGGAAGATGGATATTAATTCCAACATGGATGTTAACGATATTAAGCCCATCATATTGAGTAAAATTAACGAGGAATTAGATGATTTACATAGTATAAAATACCAGCTGACGATTAAAATGACATTGAGTAAAAGTAACACAGACGATAGCACCGAATATACCGAACCATATTTCCGTAGCAATCAAGAAGTTATAACCGAATCCGATACTATAAACGCATCATTAGATACATCAATTCAGAGAATACAGGAAACTTTAGAACGCTGGACTAATAGAGGTTCTGGTTGGGGTGTGGATAAAATCGATAGTTTATATTTAGATATAGCAAATTATATGCCCTTCAAAGGTGGATCTTATATAGATTTATCCCCGTATTATAAGAAGAAAAAAGCCATAATTAACGTAAAAAATAAATCCGATGACTGTTTAAGAATGATGATAAGATCTGCATTGTTCCCCGTAGACAAGCATCCGGATAGACCTTCTAGCTATCCCCAAAACGATGGACTCAACTTCGATGGTATAGACGAACCTACACCAATATCACAAATTGATAAGGTGGAAAAGCAAAATAATTTAGCTATAAATGTTTTCGGACATTCTAAAGGAATTGTTGTACACAGGATAAGCTCCGCTCCGGAAAATATCCCGAGAATCAATTCATTTCTGATCGAAAAAGATGGTAAATATAAATATACGTGGATAAAGAGTTTAAACAGGCTGCTATACGATCAAACTAAATATAAGGGAAAGAAATATTTCTGCGAAAGATGCCTACATGGGTACAGCAGACAAGATCTATTAGAAGCGCATAAAGAAGACTGTAGAGGTGTTGGACAGACCGCTATCAGGATCGATATATTAAAATTTGAACATTATTGTAATCAAATGCCAGTACCGTACGTAATTTATGCAGACTTCGAAGCGCTTATCAAACCCATTGAAAATACCAACCATAATAATACTGATAGTAGTTTTACCTACAAAACTCAAGAACATATTCCTTGTGGGTTTGGATATATAGTTGTAAGGTATGATGGGAAAACAAACCCTCCCGTGATTTACAGAGGTCCCGATGCAGCGGGAAAGTTTCAAGAATATTTACAAAATGAAGAGAGAATAATCAGGGAAAAATTATCGTGTAAGAAACCCATGCGTATGAGGAGGGATGATTGGAGGGCGCATAAGAAGTCAACGAGTTGTCACGTTTGTAATAAACCCCTGGATGGGGATTCCATAAGAGATCATTGCCACGTCACGGGTAATTATCGGGGGGCCGCTCATAACGAGTGTAATTTGAAACTAAAAATGAATTCTCAAACAATACCCATCCCCGTTGTGTTTCATAACCTTAGGGGATACGATTCACATCTCATTATGCAAGCTATCTCAAAGACCGACGGCGGTTTAACGTGCATTCCTAATAATATGGAAAAATACATATCGTTCTCGTTGACTAAACCTATACATTATAGGGACAAGGATGGGAAATCTAGAATAAAGCAAAGTAATGGGCTTAGATTCATAGACTCCGTACAGTTTCTGTTATCTTCCCTGGACAATTTAGCTAATGCGAACAATCCCGATGACTTCGCGATAACAAATCAATATACCAATAAGATAACTCGTCATTTGTTGCTGAGAAAAGGTGTATATCCTTACGAATATATGGATGATTGGTCTAGATTCGAAGAAACTGAATTACCACCCCTCGAATCATTCTATAGCAACTTAACAGAATCTAGAATAACAGATGCCGATTATGAACACGCTCTGACGGTCTGGGATAAATTAGGTTGTAAGAATTTAGGCGATTATCACGATCTGTACTTAAAAACCGATGTACTGTTACTCGCCGATATATTCGAGATATTTAGAAAGACATGTTTAAAACAATACGGCTTGGACCTGGCATGGTACTATTCCAGTCCCGGACTATCGTGGGATGCATTGTTGAAGAAGACCGGCGTAGAACTAAAATTACTCACAGATTACGATATGCACTTGTTTATTGAGAAAGGATTAAGAGGTGGTATATCGATGGCGGCGAAAAGGTATTCTAAAGCTAATAATAAATTAGTGGAAGGATACGATCCGAGTAAACCTGACACTCACATATTATATCTCGACGCTAACAATTTGTACGGATGGGCTATGAGTCAACCTTTACCCACGGATGGTTTTGAGTGGGTCGATGATATCCATAATAATGATGAGAATAAAGGGTACATACTAGAATTTGACTTGGAATATCCAAGTTCGTTAAATAAAGACCATAACAGTTATCCGCTAGCTCCCGAAAGATTAATGGTTAATAAAGATTGGATGTCGGAATATCAACGCTCCTTGATGGGTAATAGTAGGTTAGCTAACGTAGAAAAACTCGTACCAAATTTGATGGATAAAACAAAATATATAGTTCACTACAGAAATCTCCAGTTGTATATATCGTTAGGTATGAAACTTAAGAAAATACACAGAGTTCTAAAGTTTGATCAAAGCCCTTGGATGGAGCCCTATATAAGGTTGAACACAGATTTAAGAAAGATAGCTACCAGCGATTTCGAAAAGAATCTGTATAAGCTCATGAATAACTCGGTATTTGGTAAAACTATGGAGAATCTAAGGAAGCGTGTTGATGTTAAATTAGTCAGATCTAATGAGGAAGAAAGACTCAGGAAACTTATAGCAAGTCCGGCTTTTAACAGAAGCAAGATATTCGATAATGACTTAGCCGCGTTGCATATGCAGAAGAGTAATATAAAATTCAACAGACCGGTGTACGTCGGTATGAGTATTCTCGACTTGTCAAAACACTTAATGTATGACTTTTATTACAACGAACTTAAGAAGCAATACGGTGATAGATGCGAGGTGCTATATACCGATACAGATTCTTTGTTGATGGAAATACAAACCGAGGATGTGTATAAAGATATGGCAGAAAAAATAGATATGTACGACACGAGCGATTACCCAAAAGATAATCCACTGCACAGCGTAGTAAATAAAAAGGTGTTAGGTAAGATGAAGGATGAATGTGCTGGGACCCCTATAGCGGAGTATGTAGGATTAAGACCTAAGATGTATTCTATAAAAAAGTCTGATAATGGAGAGATAAGAAAAGCTAAGAGCGTTAAGAAGTATGTTGTAAAAAAGCATATCAAACACGAACAGTATAAAGAATCATTATTCAACGGTAGAACGTTCAAACACGAGATGAACTCTTTAAGAAGTTACAATCATAGGATATATGGATTAAGAATGAACAAGACATCATTATCCCCCTTAGATACAAAGAGATGGATTGATAATGATGGTGTAACTACCTATGCTTATGGTTATGGTGGTAATACCGTACCGTCGGGAACTATGAACAACTCTTCTCGTACAAATGCCCTACCCGGTCCATCTTGAAGATAATAAAGAATAGGCTCTCCTTCTTTCGTAACCAATCGACTAATGTTATATGTCTTAAGGGACCATATGGGATCGGTTGCGCGACGTAGGCCTCCTTCGAGTTCACCGGGCTGGTATAAATATCTTACCCTTACTCTATCTGGAAGTTTTCGTTCTTTGCCTCTCCTCGGTGCTGAAGATTCAGAAGTCACGGATTTCATTTTAATAGCATCGGATGGTTTCTTCCCTATTAATCTCGTTACTTCATTATTCAGCGCTGATACAACGGCTGATAAACGTGTCACCCATTCGGTTGATCTCAATCGCTCAGATTTCATTTCGATCCCATACTGATAGCCAAACAAACGTTCCGCTAATGTCCTGTTAAATCTTTCGACGATAGCTTGACTGCGGTGGGCCTCTCTTTCACCAAGGACAATTTCGACATCGTTCTTTGTTAACAGTTTAGTTACCGATCCCATAAACTCGCGACCGGGATCTACTTAAAATAGCTTAGGCCATTTTAGCGGTCTGCGTTTTTATATGCGACTCAGTGCATTAGCTACCTCTGTTGATTCTTTCGAGGTTAATGGCTCAGCCTCTTTGTATCGACTAGCCACATCCACTACCGTTAAAGCGTATTTATACGTTTTGCGTTTTACCTTATCGTGGGGAAGAAACAAGAGGTCAGCCTGATGAACTTCATTCGTTGTAAAAATATCAAACTTCTTCCTCGGTATATAACGCGGTGCCGGTAAGTATATTTGCCACATCGCTTGTTTCTTTAACCAATCCTTAGCCACATCTTTAGATACCTTGGCCGCGGTTGCTAATTTTTTTATTGCTCCTACACCTTTCCAATATCCTCGTGGGCTATAGTAAATTTTATTCATTATTAATTAATATTGATGTTTCGTTTAATACAACTCATGACTATCGTAAAATCACATAATCATTTTGGCATAAAAAATCCCCCCTGTAGTAGCAGTATAGGTAATAAATCTGGCTCAAGAACCATCATTACCTATAAAAATTTATATCATAGACTACAGGTGGTGGTGAGCTAGAGTCAATTTAACTTAATCTCATGACTATCGTTAAATCGCATAATCATTTTTGCATAATAAATCCCCCCTGTAGTAGCAGTATAGGTAATAAATCTGGCTCCAGTGGAAGTGGTCCAGAACCCCTATTCTATACTACTTCAGGTGACATGTTTTTGAAGCTTGTAAATGGGTTCAAGGATTTGACTGGATTGGATAAATACATAGTGTGTGATAGGATAAGTTTAAAAAATATTTTTATTTTATATGTTTTTGATAAATTGTGTTGTTAACGAATGTAAATAAATTGATTGTGTTATTGTTGACACAGAAATAATTTTCTGTCTTTGTTTAATGCAATTACAAACTGTGAAACCATGTCGGGTTAAACGAACCCCCTCAACCCATCACATGGGTGCTTGTCCATTTTGGTCTGTTACTTTGTTTTGGACATGGTTTTGACTTGGGCATTATGCTCTGCCCATATCAACTATTACAGCCGGTGCAGATGGAGCAAGTCGCTGAATTAGAACACGAGCCCACCACCCCAACATTTTCGAAAGGACAAATTATCTGGCTGTTACTTCAAGTCCAACTTGATGAGAGAATTTCTATCTAGTCTCTCTGTCCGTCTACAAGTGTAGTTATTGAGCTGCTATCAAAACAATACCATGGAATTTGGATTCGAAAACTTTGTATTTCTATGTCAGGTACACACCACTATGAATAGAGTCAAAGTCAAACTTTTGCCATGGAAAGAGGAAAACAAATAATTAAAATTCCTAAATGGCAAAAGGCACCACTTCATCCCCTGATTTATACATGTACCAAGTTTGGATAAGAATGGTGAGTTAGGTTGTTTTTTTAGTTCTGCTCCGGAAATGACATCTCCCCTCCATGAAAGCAAGTAAAATTAAACTTTGAAAAATTCCTCAACAGCAAAAGGTGTCACTTCTACCCCTGTTTAATACATGTCCCAGGTTTAGATGAAAAGTCTTGCATGGTTTTCAAGTTGTGCTCCGGAAACGAAGCTCACACCACCCTTTTGAGAATTAGTGCAAAATGTTTCTATGAAATCAAGAATATTACATATGCAAAAAATATGTCAATGGCAAAAGAAACCACTTCACGACCTGTTGATTTATCTGCCAATTTCTGTTAAAATATATTGAACAGTTTTTGCATGTTTACAATGGATGGACACATTAGGCATAGACTATACCCCACCCCACCCCCACCACATGGGGGGTAGACAAAAGTCAAAAGAGGGCAAGACTACAGATGTCAAACTGTACTGGTCTCTGGCCAGCTGAGCTGAATATTGCTCATATATTGATTTGCTCACTGTTTCATCCAGTACTTGACACTTGTTGAGGTAATGACAATACATATTTTCAATTATAAATAGAAAAAATATATCTGATAAAGCTAATGTGGGTTCTGTGTGTGGAAAGTATGAAAACAGATTTCCATGAATATAAGCGATGTATTGAGATCTCTCTTCATACAGGAATATAGAAAATTCCTCAAAATCAAATAAAACATGATCTTAAACATATACATATATATTCCTTACATGTCTATGTACATGCCATACAACATTATACAAGTAGGGATAAGATATATGGATGAACACCTTCTTTATTACAATTAGGAGCAACACTTTGGTGTAGGTTCTAACACTGTTATCAAGCAGGTGAGTATGGTTGACAAGTACATGTATATATACAGGAAGGAGGCAGTGTTTATACAGATGTAGTTACACTAGGGTGGAGAAGCCTGCTATATGTACACAAAAGGGTAAACATACTGGCAGGTGAAGGGAGGGATATAAACGAATGGGTGAAGCCAGTAATATAAACAAAAGGATTATAACTGACTGGGGTCTTTGATGAGTTGATGGTAAGCAGGGGGGTATATAATAGCCTTGATGACAGTTGATTGATAGTTGGGGTCTTTTGATGTTGATGGCTTGTTGTAGTTTTCTGATTTTGAAGTCTTTGAGTTCTTTTGACAAGAAGCCATCAACATAAAGTGAAAGCCCTCAGCACCAACCTCATATATCTTATCCTTACTTAGTATTCCAACTTCTAAATGCCTCTCAAAGAAGTTAAATATTATACATTGGCACTAACACACATTAATGTACAGAAGACACTCACTGATTAACAGCTACCTACTGAAAATGATGGTCAGACAGCAACTGACACACAAGATAAAAATGTAATATACTAATGTACAGCTGCAGCCAAGACCACATATGGTTACATTTTGACAATGACAGAAAGTCACTGGTGATGACACCAACACCAACAGGGATTTATCAAGGATGAGATGTGGCATGTTCTATACATTTCTTATTAATTGTTTTCACAATGACACACAGTGACAATGTACCATGGCCTGTGGCTTGTTATTCATTATTCCGTAGTAAAGTCAGCACTTAGATGATTGTAGCATGTGACGTTTTAGAAGGGCACACTTGTCCTTGTCCAGATATGTAACTTTCGCTGAAGATTTAGAGCTACTAGCAATGTCTGTCACTGGTGTACCACCATCTTCTTCTGAAACTTGTGTTTGTGGTGAATTTAAGACTTCATGTTCTCTTGCCAGAGTTGGCAGGTCACTGTTACAAAATTTGCCACCACTTTGGCATTCCAAGAACTTATCATATTCCTTTGGACAAGAAAGAGTTTTATTTACATCACAATTAAATGGCATATTGTGTGCTGACATGTCCTTACAACTTGTGTTGGAAGACCGATCTGTTTCAGATTCAGAAAAACTCACTTTCATCTTTGGTTTTGTCACTGAATCATGGGCTATTGTTTTCTTATGAGTCAAGGAAGTGGAAGATAGTTCTTTCCATTTTCTGAAATCAGAATGTGAAGGATTAGGTGAAGAGGCTGTTGTGACTATCTCACTGATGGGTCTATAGATGGCTGAGAGACCTGAGGAAGATGTCGAGTATTGGCTACTTGTACTGGTTGTGCTATCAGGTCGACTCTGAACTGCATTTGTCCTGACCATTGGAGAAGCAGGCTTGTATGGTCGGAAAGATGACAATGCATGTGAAGAAGAACTGTACGAGCTGCGACCATTGTTAACAAAATCTTTTGTGTAGGAGTTTCTGTCTTCCTTTGCATGATAAGTCATATCACTGGTCACATTTTTCTCTGAATGATAGCCACTAGATACTGAGGACTGCAAATTTGAATCTGCACCCTCACTGTTGTCAGAGGATATACTATTTTCTCCTGTTTGACCACTTGTTACCTGGATGACACTTGGCACTAAACTTCTTACTGTTTCAGGCACCTCCGATGAATTTGTTTGCTTCCCTATCTTTTGATGTAAATAGGTTGAAAGAGAACGGCTTTGTACTCTGATTGGAATGTAAGCAGGATTTGGAACTCTCTCTTTGGTGTGTTGAAGGAGTGGTGAATGAATACAAGGTTCCTTTGTTGACTCTTCATTAACCATTGACAAAGTATGCTGTTTTGAAACAATGTTTGAGGATACTTGTCGTATTTTATGACTGTTCATTTCTGATTGCACTAGACTTATTTCTTGCATTTTTTCAATCACCTCTCTCATGATTGGCATATCAGCCATAACCCTTTTTGCAATTTCTTGAGGATCCATCACTTTCTTACTTGTGGAAGACTGTAGGTTATAAACAGTTGTATCATTAACTTTTGACAAAGATGATTTTGACAATGAAGTTGAGGATGAACATGAGGTATTGCTGGAAACACTATGTTGCCTCAACCTTTCATTATTACATGTGTCTTGTAAGTTGCCTGCAGTGAACTTGAAGGCAAGCTGCTCATTGCCTAGCAAAGTTGATTCAGTGTCACTTTGTGATGAAACAACAGATTCTGACATAACTGATACAGTGTCGCTAGACATGCTGAGGTCTACCACAACATTACTGGAACTTGATGGATGGAGACCTGGGCTGTCACCTGTATCTGTTAGTGTTGGACTACTAGACAAGCTCCCAGATTCATGGCCATGTGGAGGGTACATACTTCTAATTCTGTTCTGATGGGACAGCTGCAAGGATGGATCAAGCAGACCTGATTTTATTATCTGTTTTTGATGTTTTCCATCTACATCTCCCTGAAACAACAAAAGATATATACTTTAAATGATAGGTTCAAGATTATTTGCAATTATATAGCAACAATGTGTGTGTGCACATGTTCTTGTACTGGTATGCTGCTTTTATAGTGCCAGGCCAGTGAGATATCATGGAGCTGTTTAAGCTGGATACCACACTCCGAAACATAAAACTGACATCATCTATCATATTATTGCCAAAAGCCAGGTTAGGTAACAAGTACCATCTTTAGGTTTGATGTGACCAGGGGATCCAGCAACTGACCTTATGCTCTCCAGGCAGACACTTTATCCTATAGACCATCTGGCGGTGGATATTTTTGAGAATATATCTACAGCTACATCTATTTCTTTCTCTTTCATAATACTAGATACTAAAAATAAGGTAATGAAAGTATCAGCCTTTCAAAGTTACATACTATTAGTTATGGTATCTTTAGTTGTTGTATACGGTGTCATATAAGGTCAACAGAAAAACATTTTCTGCTTATCTAATATGACACCGTATATGCCAACTAAAGACACCATAACAAATGTATTATGCTGAAATGTTTACACTATATGCTATCTTTATCGCAAATAGAGAACTTGACACTTACAACTCTTAGAAATGACCAGACCAGTGCATATGTTTACGATACAACACTTAAATGTAAACACAAAGTTAACAATGGAATATATAATGCACTAAATGTAACCGTTTAAACAAGTACTATAGCTAAAATGGAGAGAATTATCATAAAAATGCCTGCATGTTATCTGAAATTTGAAGGCCACTGTAACTTGATAGTAGTCCGCTTTTCCCTTATGACGAGCTGCTATCTATTCTATTACTATGTAACATCATTGGCGTCACGGTTCGTTTGTGATGTCAAGATATCTTGAGACACAAGCGCTGGTGTCGCAGAGATCATAGTTCTGGAGGTCCCAGGTGCTGAGAATAAAGAGCAGGTACCACACTCACAGTAGCCACTGGCAATGTTGACTTAGGAAGACGGGTGCCATATTACCCATCGCAGATACCGGCTGCAGAGTGAGTGAGTGAGTGAGTGAGTGAGTGAGTGAGTGAGTGAGTGAGTGAGTGAGTATGGTTTTACGCCACTTTTAGCAATATTCCAGCAATATCACAGTGGGGGACACCAGAACTGGGCTTCACACATTGAACTGCACAAAAATTACATATGAATTCTGGAGAGCAAATCTGCATCCAAGCCAAACTATGTGCATGAGGATCTTTGGAAGATTTTTTTTTGTACAATTAGTAGTACATAAGTTATTATTAATAAAGAATTGTTGATAGAAATTGAGTTGGAAGATTGCCATAGAATTACACAATATTCTATCGGCAAATACTTAGAGTTGAAAGTGTATACAAGCATTGATACACGCAAACTCTAAGTAACACCAAAGCTACTTGTATTTAAAAACACATGAATATGTTATACATACATAGCTATGAATTGTAAACAATTGTAACACAAAATCAAAATGGCGGGAAACAACAAGCCACGTTACGGGAAAAAGACGAAGTCTTTTTACGCCAAAATCACCCACTGCACAAATTCGTGAAAGTTATATGAAAAGAATACGTAACCCGTTGCAGATAAAATTTAGAATTATAACCAAAGCTGAAGGTCTCCTGAGACACGTGGAGAAGGCGACTTGTCATCAAAGTCACATGACTGCAGCGATGGTCCATGCAAAAAGCAGGAGTGGAATGTGAAACATCTTTATTTCTTCACTTAAGACCATCGCCATACGTTGTCTTTTTGTTGTCGTAAGGTAAGCAGTGAATGCATTTAGGAGTAATGCAGGATAAGTAAAATACAAAATTTGGATTTTTACTGAGGGTATACAGGCTCATAGAGGGTTAGTAGTTCTGCACTCTGATTAGTCAATCTCACTTTGAGGCATAATAAACTAAAATTGCTATATATTGAGGTATACAGAGTATAAGTACACAACATAAAATGGTCAAACAATGTGCACAAATCATGGACAACACTTTCAGAAACAAAACATGATTTTAAGTTTCAGTATACTGCTCATATTACAGTTTCTGATGTTTGTTATATGTATTGCGTATCATGCTCAAATGATAAAGTATCTCACATGGTGGTTAAGGTTTCAGGATTCTTAAATTTGACATGACCGTGGGGACGCTGGTAAAAAAACATTGACTTATGAAGTAAAAATGCCAGTAAATGTTTTCTGTCACGTTAGTGTTATCAGGGAGTCTCGACAACATAAACAAATCTGGAATATGTTATTTTCAGCCTAAAGCTAAACTACACATGTTCTTAATTTCATTACATCTTAACATAGTGCATTTTGGATTTTAACCTCTTGAACAGATTCGGGTGCAATCATTTGATGGAACAACCGTGTTGTATTTTAGATTCAGTTGTATAGTGGTCTATGAGAAGATATTTACAGACTGCTAAAGTAAGATGGACAAACAGGACTGATATAAGTTCATTTACAATTATCTACAGATGTTTTTCACACTTCACCACTTCCTGGTTTGAAATCATAAGGTGGAGTTTGGAGTGCACATGGCAGACATCACCATGTCAACAAGGCACGCAACTGGAATAATTTGTCTTTACCAGTACTATCAGGGCAAAATTTATTGAAAGATTGCACCATCTCATTTTTATCATTGACAAATTATTCTGCTGTCATCATGTCTGTCATGATTTCAAAATCAAATGTCCATGACCACCTGATTCTGCACTCAAAGTGCAGTAGCAGAAGTAGAACATGGACTTCAAATCCTACTGGCATTGTGTGATAAATAATTCAGTATATCTCCCCTCTTCACACAAATTATTTGTTCAAAGGTTTTGTCTAGTTGGAGTTTGAATGACTTCCATACTAAGCAAGTTGTATTTGAAGACTAGTCCTTTTCGTAAAGTATAATATCTTGAATTTGACTCCTGTACATTTAGGTAAATGTCATAAAGTAACTAAACTGATATCTTGATTTTATCTGTATTATTATTATGGTTCTGTTCTGGTGTACAAAACCTTTCAAATGGCGTGCTGGTTTTCTTGGGCGAATCAGTCAGCAAAGAGCCGCAGTCAAAGGAGAATAATTACAATTTTATTTACAAGAACAATTAACAATTTATAATATCTCAAAATATAGCTGAGGGTGCCACAGAGAGTCAGTACAACCCTGAGTCTAAATTAAATTAATGAGTCTAAATTGAAGTATTTGCTGAATGTTATTCTAATAAAGGTGATGACAGATTTACTTTAATAAAGTAGTTCAAGGCAATCTATAGAGGTTATCACTCGAGTGTGTTTGGGGATGGTAAATATCCTGCATTAGGAATAAACATTGTATTTAGCCTTGGCTAACCTCTTTATCATATAATGTCATTCTTTAATTCTGTGCTTCAAAATCCCTTTCCCTCTCTCATAAACATTACCGAAACATTGCAAGTCTTCCTGGAATTCGTGCATTAATATTTTTTAAGACACAGGGTAAGTGATGTGTCAGTCGGACAGTGACAGTAGCCAACTGAAATCTGTTTCTTATACAGTGGTGAAGCAACATATATGCAAAACATCAATTGTTTTTAATTGCCTTTCGCGGCAATTGTCTGTCCGCTAGAGTTACTGCCATTTGTCAAAGGGAAACTACTCTAACCCTAGTCTTTGAGACGTCACGGCCACGGTCAGACGGTGCTGACAGTCGGTCTGTCCTATCATAACGTTAAGAAGTGTAGTCAGATGTACACACAGCGACAAATTTGTGGAGAAGGTTTCAAGCCGCAGAGGTCTACAAGCACAAATATGGCTACTGATCCTGCTTGGCTAGGCCTCGTGCCCTCGCAAAATTGTTTCAAAATTTATATCTCCAAGGATGCCAAAACTTATAAAATGCCTTAGCTACGTCACAGTTAGACAGTATATTAGACTGTTCTTTTGATAATGAAAGCAATTATCCCTGTAGTTTATCCAGATTCCCGATGGTTAATTCTGACTCGATCGCTGAATGACGAGGGCGACGCCATGTTTGTTTATAAACAGTGAAAGAAGTCCCTTCTCGACCTTTGATATTTGCATCTCTATCCACATATGACCCCAACGGATATCGTTTTTATCTGTTGGCTTTATCCTGCCGAGAAACCTACCAATTATATGAGAGATAAAACTATGTAGACATATATTTTGTCCTATTGAATATCATGTCTGGGAGATGGGATGTTGTTACCTTAGGCTAGTATTTATCTAAAAGCATCAAATGGAATTTGTCATGTGACCAGCAGTGTTGACAGTCGTGTGTTTGGTGTCTGATGATAATATGTGCAAATAAGTGACACAAGGACTCAAACAGGTAAACTTTTGCTATAATCGCATGTGTGAATGTATCTGGCATCTCCTAGCGTTATATGGGCGTGTCAGTTGATGTTTGGAGGGCTCGAATGGGCAGGTTTTGTCAACGAGTGAAAAAGCGTGGATGGTGGACCCCCACTATAACGCTTACGTCGGGCATAAAATCAGGTGTGAGGTTGTTTGTGTTGACATTGGCGATAATCATGCTATGTGGAGATGTTGAAAGCAACCCTGGACCAGCTACCGGGGGTCGGTACTTTCCAAGTGACACCAACAGAGGCAGAGTACAAACCAGACTGTCAGCAAGGAATGTTATAGGTCAGTGTTTGCCAGGTGAACATGGGCAAGCAGATCAGGGTGTATCAGAAATGGCCGACATCACGAGAACGTTGAAGGCAATTCAAGGTGAGATGTCGGCTATGAACATGAAATTTGATTTGTTTGTCAAAGATTATGATGAGAGACTTGTGAATTTAAAATTGGAAAATGAAGATTTAAAACAAAAGGTTATTAATCTAGAATTAAAAACTGATAACATTGAGGCTCATCAAGAAGATCAAATCTCATATTTCATGGCCTGAAAGAGGAACGTGGAGAATCATGGGATATGAGTGAGTCAAAAGTTAGAGCCTTCCTCCATGATCAAACTGGAC